ACAAACAAGATTTCTAGAAATATAAATTGACAATCAAAAAACTGTGATTGAGTTTAAAGAAGTCACTTAATAACTGAAGTTCTTAACAAAAATATAATAGATAACAAGTTATCTATATTTTAAAAAGAATATTAATACCTAGAATAGAATTTAGAATACTATATAGTATGTTGTTCTAGAAAATATATAACATCTTGATAATAGCATATAGAAAACTTTTCAAAAACAAGAATATTTTATGTAGATCTATACCCAATAGCATAATTCACCATCCAAAGATCCACAACTTGAAGAGTATTTGGATACTATAACAAGAAAGTTAAGTAATAAGACTATGCAATAGACTCAATGATCTAGGATTAATAGGGATTATAACAATTATTAAACTTAAATAAGTATAGATTAAAAATTGTGAACTATTTAATTTATTGATCTTCAAGTCACTAAATTACTTATTAAACAAAGATAACTTTACATGTAAAGTGATCAAATTGGTAAAAGATATGGGAATAACCTTTCAAAGTTAAAAAAGACAAAATATTTTTGAATGAAACAAGGGAAACAGTCTAATCAGGGAACATCCTATATTCGAAAAATATAAAAAAACTATTTTATCACTTAGAAACAATAGACTAATGTATCTGAATTAGATAATTGATCAAGAATTCAAGAAAATTAATTACGGGTGAATACTTTAGCTTTTACAAAATACAAGTAAAGAACTTATTCCAGAATAGTTTCAAACTATAGTCAAAAATCTTATAAATGAATAGTTGAAGCAGCTTACAAGATTTTAAAAAGAGAACTATATAAAATGAAAATCAAAATATGTCAAAATAAAATCTGATTAAGATAAGTAACAAAAATCATGGATAGTAATAAGAAGTAAAAGAAATCAAATAATTTGGAAAAAGTTAAGACAAGAAAAAGAAGTAATAAAGTAATAGTGAAACATTTTACTTGTTTTAATACAAATAATAATTAAAAAACTAGTTTACAAAAATGCCTTGGATGTTCAGAAGATATAATACCAAATGACAATTGTATTATAGAGAGATATATATAAAAAATATATTTAGTATCATACTCAATGCAAGAAAGTCTACTAGCAAAGTATGAGAATTAAAAATTCTCAATTCCAAGACAATCCTGAAAAAAAAGATCCAAGAAGTGATTTACAATAACTTGAACTATTTTACATTTCAAAATGACAAAATAAACTATGTAAATAGTAAAACCTGAAAAAAAACTATTATTAGAAAAAAAATATTAAAGAAGGAGTATATTAAAATCATCTAATAGAAATACTCCAATACAATTTTTGATCCAAAGAAAAATTAACTTTCTATTCTGATGGATCACAGATTAATTATGGAAAAGAAGAAATGAAAATTGGAGCTTCTTGGATTTAAATAGAAAAAATAGAAAGAGAAAGTAAGTTTTGAATAAGAATAAACAACTGGTTCTTATCTACAAGGGCTAAATTGATAATAATTATAACAATACTTTTGATAGTTCTCATTAATAGTACAGTTGAGATTTGTACAAATAGCTAAGCCTGTATTTTCAAATAAAAAACAATAGGAAAAGAAAACTCAAGAAAAATGTATAAAAGATGGCTAAAAAAGAAAAATTGGTTTCTTTGGATATGAGTAGCAGAACTAATAAAAAAGAAAAATATACTATAGATTTAAATCTCACTAAAGTTAAGGTATATTCTAATAATCCTTATAATAAAGAAACAGATGTTCTTACTAAAAAAGCTCTAAAACTCCTATCAATTGAATAGAAAAATCCCCTCTTATATAAGATCATCACAAAAATTAAATGGCAAGACAAGACTTAAAGATAATTACATATGGAATATATTTTTCAAGAAATCTCAACATAAAAGTTTTCTTATCAAATTGATCAATAATGAGCTATTAATATTAAGTAAATTAGCTATAAGAAAACCTAATTTATACAAACAAGTGAAATGTATTACATCTAATCAATAAAAAGAAACTATAGAATATATGCTAGAATGTTTAGTCTACAACAATCAACTATAAGCAGTATAAAATAAATAAGTATATAAAATTATTAGAAACTTTAAAGAGCTTTTATAAAAAAGAAAAAGAGAGATTGCAAAGAAAAGTATTAGGCTAATCATTAATAATTAAGAAGAACTTGGGGAGCTTGACAAGTGGATCTCTAGATTAGTAAAATAGACTTCTAAAATTAGTCAAGATACCTTAAGTTATTGTACTGGCCTAATAAAAAGTAGTCTTATTCTAAAAATGACAAACCTAAGATGTCATGAAAAATGTATAAGAAAAGAAGTAAAAAAATAGATGTTAAATATGTAAAAAAGAGTTTGCAATAAAATTCAAAAAAGAATCTGAAACAAGAGATATAAAAAAATAATTGAATGGGAACAGTTACAAGAAATTAGTAAAGTAGACAAGACTAAAAGATCTTCAAGTTTTATAGGTCAGAAAACTATGCCTTTCAAGAAAAGAAAACCATTACCAGAAAAAGAAAATCGAGAAGATAATGAAAGTCTTCAAGAAATTTTAATAAAAAGAATAAAATATGGGATGAAGTGATTGGGTTTTGAGCTTTATCAGAACATTGCAGAGTAATCTGCAATAGTGATCTGCAAACAATGAAGTTAGTAGTTGAAAGAGTTTTTACATAAACTACTGATAGAGTAATAAATTACTTTCAAAGTTATACTTAGAGTTTTTATAAATTTCAAAATATTGATAAGTGAGTTAGGTAGAGATTTAGCTTTAGTGATATATTTTTAATGGAAAGTATATAAAATATTTAATAAAGTATACATATTTAGTTTGACAATGAACTTAAAAAAAAAAAAATAAAATTATATTTTTATTTTTTATTTTTTTTTTTATTTTTTATTAAAATGAATAAATTTTTTAATAATTTATAAAATTTATTATAAATAATTAATTTTCATAATTAAAAACATCAAGTAAAACTTGAAAAAATTTTTGATTATATTATAATTATTTTTTTTGTTAACCTATAATTTTATTATAATAGTATATTTTTATTAAGAAATTAAAACAAAATCTATAATGAATTACAAATTTTACAAAGTGATTAATTTGTTTTTTGTATTTCAAGTCAAATTTTAAAAATGATATTAATAAATTAGTTATAATCTTTATATATTAGAATCATTATTAATAGTTTGTTATTGTTGATTAATTTAAAAATTAATCAATTGCTAAATTAGAGAAAAAAAATAATTGAAAAAAGAAATCAATTCAAGATTTATTAAAAGTTTAAAAATAAAGTTATTTCTTTTTTAAAAGAATTATTCGATTGAAATAGTTTTTTTGTTTTATTTGAATCTTAAAAAAATATTTTTTACTATCATCTTATAATATCAGATGAATTAATTTAACTGTTTTTTTTTTTTAAGTAAACATTAAATCCATATATCACAAGAAAAATATTTAAACCTTAACTTTTGTCCATTAAAGTTTTGTTACTACTTAAGGAACTTAGGAAAAAGATAAGAATTTGTAATTCATATTATTTATCTTTTAGTCTTTTTATTATACAGTAAATGTTTTTAAGGAATTTGAGTTTCTGGAAAGTAAATTTTTTTGAAATGTTCTTTTTATTCATCAATAATATTTTTGAGACACATGAGTATGATTAATAGAAGCTTGTTTATATTTCAAAAATTAATATAATTTGTATTAATCAATTATTTTTTATAAGGATTTATGTTATTGAAAATTTAGGATCAAATTGAGATAGGCAAAATTCTTTAAAAATCTGTAAAAGTGAAGCTTTAAGAAGGTCAAAACAATTAAAAGGGAAAAAATACTATAAGTTTTTTTATTGCTAAAAATCCCTATAAATCTTTTGCTTAAAAGGTAAAGATTTTTTTAGATATTTTACAATTAGTTTTTATTCTTTTGAGAATTTTCTTATCATTGATATCAAAGGTATTACTTGTTGATTATTAAAAGTCAAGTTTTCAGGTGAAAAGATTTATAAACTATAAGAAAATGATAGAGAGGATTTTTGAAATTAGATTTATAATTATTTTTATTAGCAAAGAAGTGAAAGAACTTCTTGCAAATATTTTTTTTATGTGTAATCAGAGGATAAATAGAAAAATTTTGATTTTATTATAAATATATATATAAAACAATTTGAGTTTTTGTAATAGAATTATTTCTCAATTTACTTATATTTAAATTTCAATATTATTAAGTATTGAAATAATACTTTAAAGATAAAAATATCTTAATCAATGAAATGCTTGGTACTAAATTTAGAAAAATATCCTGCAGGTTCTGATATTACAATTTTTCTTTTTTTTGAACAATTGCAAAAACTTATTTAAAAGATAATTTGATTGAATATATATAAAAATCTAAAATTATATTTAAAAGTATTTTTATTTTTTTTTTTCTTTTGCTCTTCTTTTATTTTAACACTTGTACTCAATAAATGAACATAGGATTCCTTGGTAAATTATTAGTAAATTTCTTCTTAGATTAACTTGTATTATGTATCACTAATAATAAGTCCTTAAAGTATTTAGCATATAAAATTTTGCAGATTACTTATGCCCCTTTTGAGAGATAAAGTTCATAGCACTTTATTTTAGTAGGAATAAAATTTAGAAAATACTATAAACCAAGATTTAAATAATAGAGAATATTGTAAATAGTTTTTTTAATAATTAATATTCTAATAATTTCAAAGTTTTCTAGTAAGAGACATTTGATCTTTGTTTTTGCATCCCCCATTAGGAATCCACTTTTATGTATCACCCCTTGAATTGCAATGTGTTCTTGATTTAACAAAAGCAAGCCTACACATAAAAATTAATATTTAAAAATTTTATACTGCATGTGATTAAATTAATTTAATAAGTTTTAAGTATTCTATTATTTGTTGAGGGAATTATACAGTACATGAGCATTAGCCCGCCCGCCAGTGGCTTATCAAATTTCGATTAGCCTATGCCCGATCAGAGCTTGTTGAATGCTATCTTGGACAGGTAACCAGGGCTTGCGATCGATTTCGGAGGCTAAGCTTCTAAAACTCGAATTCGTGTTACGGTATAAATATGATGCATGTGTAGTAAAAGCTCGTAGGAATCTTTGAATGACACGGTCATCGTGGCAACGCATTGTGTAGGCATTCGAAAATCTCACGTTTTTGCTATAATGTTATGCGATTGATCGATGACCAAATATTTACTACGTACTGTACATAATCAAATCCTGTACTTAAATGTTATTGTTTGGATGGTTATTGCATAGAGAGATAATAAATTGGTTTTTTCGAAAATAAGGTTCAACATTTCGTAAAATTCGGTTTAACCCAAGTGTGGCAACAGCGTAACAACGTTTGAAAACGAATTCACCTTCGTTTGAAAACTTAAAACAATAATCATCTTTTGACCTACGCGTAGATAACCTGTTTTGGGCAAATGTAGCAAGTATCTGAGATTTTATCCGATGCGATGCAGTTTTCATATCAACATCACCAAACTTGTCATGAATCAGCGATTTAATATACTTTAAATTCATATACGAATGTCCAATTCCATCCCATGAAGTGTGCATTGATCGTTAAGCCACAGTAGATAATGTTAAATATTGCGGATTCGTGGAATTCGTCATTTCCCTCCAATACTACCAAAGCCACCATTCATTCAAAGTGATCAAATGAATTAATTTATTTATTCTCGAATGCTTGTCAACTCTCTTCGCGATCCAAAAACTTTAAATTCCAAAGATGTCAATATACAAGTTGCGCCTTTTGATATTATTCATACTGGTTGGAAGTTCCGGCGTCCTTGGTCAAAATAAGAGCGCTTCTTGTGGCACAGCCAACGATCCTTGCAAAAGTGTGAATTCTACATTAGCTTTATGTAATGGGAATTTTAGTCTACCCTCAAGCGGCTCGTTTTATAACGTAACTGGTAGGGGATCTTAATAGAGCAATGAATGACCTTTTTCTAATCACATGTGGCAACGAATTCTAAGAATGTTTGTAATCTTTGTGGTAACATTCCTTAGATCTTAAATTAGCACCTTGTCAATGTAATCTACCATTCTATAATAACCTAACGGCGTGCCTGTCATGTTATGCGACACCTAAAACCAATTATAGCGCCGCGCCCTTGTCAGATTATCAAAACGCATGCACGAAATTGGGTGAAAACTTTACTTTCAAAAGGTTCGCAAGGATTTACGTGATGTTCATTATCAAATTTACCGATCCTTGAGAAATTAAAGATGAAATTGTGTACTTTTTTTTGTAGTCCGACATATTATTACACAAAAGGTGCAAACATTGCAGTCAAAGTTCTCGTTGGCATCATGGTTGGATTGATCCTTCTAATGGTTGGCGGAGCATTGTTCTGGTTGTGGTGGAGAAATGATCGTTTACACCCGAAATTAAATGATAACGATGGTAATGCATTTAATAATGATGGAGGTCACGGCACCACCCCCTCATCGAAGAAGAAAGTCAGCCCAGCTAAAACAGCAACGGAAATCCTTTCTTCCTCCGCAATATCTCCAGAGCCCACGTCTCACACTGGCGGTGGTCAAGTGCCACCACCCGGATCATTTTATAGCGGGACCACCGCCGCATATGGAGAAACTCCTGGCGGTGGTCAAGTGCCACCACCCGGATCATTTTATAGCGGGACCACCGCCGCATATGGAGAAACTCCTAGTACACCAATGCCATCGATCGGTCGACACGAGCCGGTGCACGGAGAAACGCAGACGGGTTCAACCTTTTACGATCCCACCACCACACCCGAATACATGCAGATGCAGATGCAGATGCCAGTTCCGCATCCGACACCCTCCACCGGATTTCCCCGGGATCAACAAGCGCAAGGGGTTTATCCTCAGCAACACTCCCAAGTATATCCTCCCAGCTACCCTCCGGGATACTCGCAGGATTACTATCGAGGTCAATGATCCCTGTGACTTCAAAATGTGGATATTATTTTGTTATCAATAAACGATTACGTATTCAAAAGGTAATTTTCGATTGCAATATGTTGAATATGTTGGTAAAAAGGTTAAGATTTTATGAGAACCGGTCTTTGTCGGATATTTTGCGAGGAAAAATGAGAATGGTGACATTCGGTTCCTGATAGATGCATGCTTGGAAACGACGTTTGTAATTTGATTTTTAACATATTAAAATATTGTAATACAACAGCGTCCTCCTTTTTTTGAGGAGTAAGGTTGTGTGAGCAAGGTATACTAATAAAGATTACGTGAGCAAGGTATGCTGATAATACCAATACTGACATCAATACTTGCATCGGTTGACCTATCCGGTAGAGGACGCGATGAAGGTTTATCCAAGGGAATCAATTGATTAAGGAAAATGAATTCCTTTTTTTTTTTTTTTTTTTTTTTCGTTTATATTGTCTCTAAAAATGTCGATTTCGTCGGATCAAACTAAAAAAAAAAACAAATGGCATTGAAAATAAAGTATGATTGAATGACGAAATAGAAAATATTACTTTCGGTAATTCGGCTGATTGTAATTCGATAATATTTTCTATTATCGTAATACTGTATACGTACTGTACAGTATCTCTTTTTTTTTAATCTATATAACGTGTACATGAAAAAAAAAAGAGACTCCTATACCGTAATAATTTAAAGAGGTTCGTTGATACATCTGATGTACTTACACGGGGGGTTATCTCCGGGACCAAGATTCTCAACGAATTGACAATGGTAAGAAGGTAAGAATGGGCAAACATCTTTATTATTGATCGGTTTAAAAGTCGTCATGTGACAACATCAAAAATAATAATGGTGATAATAATAATTTACAAGTGATATGTGTGTAACAAAATGGTGATATTGAGATTGAGAAACAAAATGAGGTAAGATGACGACAGACAAGCTTAAAAATTTATGATAAACCACCCCAACTTTTTCAACATCAGGCGCCCCCATTTTCTACTTTTTTCTACTTAGCTTCCTGATGAGATTCCCTTTCCCCTTCTCCTTATTTTCCGTAGGAGGCCTGTAAGGATGATTTACGATCATTGGCCTCGGATAACTGGTTTGATCATCGGTGGGCATATAATAGTTACGATATCGCGCGTAGAATAAGGGTTCCGGTGGTACTTGAGGAGACAGGACACGACGACTTTCCGTCACGTAGGAGGAATCTAGGGCCCATGAGTTCTCATCATCATCACCATCGTGAGATGAACTTTGTTGATCGACGCCATCCGGAGTATCAGTAGTGTATGACATTCGTTGATCGTCGTTACCATAACCATCGTATTCGATCAGTGGATAACTTGTACCGCCATTACTGGTTTGTGATGAAAGGCTATACCGACTTAAATGATTTAAAGAGGCGCTTAAAACATACGATGAATCATGTTGTTTCGACGATTTGTAATATTTAGAATAGTCTTGAGGAGGCGGCGGATAATTTGTTGGTGGCCAAGGAAGATCTTGAGCAATTGTCTCTGGATATTCGTCCGTCATGGGAGGTTCTTCTTCAGTATTTTTCTCCCCACAGAAACTCCCGGAAACAGAATAGTTGTCATTGATGTAGCTACTATATATTTCGTCGGGTTGGTAATCATCATCGGTTCGGAGATCATTTGTTTGACTGTCGACATCATATTCGCTGCCACTATCCATCGTAGCCTCCTCGGCTATCTCATCGTCATGCTCCGTTATGTGAGCACTCCCGCTTTGCATTTCAGAGGGGTGTGATAGAGTGGTCACCAAGTAGGAGGTTTGCGTGGCAGTAATTTCGGTGGTAATGTACTTTTCGGTCGTATCAAACTGTTGCTGTTGGTGACCCAGATATTTGCCAAATTGGTTTCGTTGCTGTTGATGGTGGTACTTGGTTGGCGTTATCGACACCCCGTTGACCATGTCACTTGTTGAGAACTCAATTTTACGCGTTTCTTGACGGGTGGTGGTGGTGGTGATTTGGTGGGTAATGACGGAATTGTTCATCTCCGAGAAACCTATTGTGGTGTAATTTCTACTAAAATTCGCATACTCCTTGTTATGTATGACGAGTAACTTCACTTTCTCCTTGTTATTATTTCCGTTACTAAGACGATTCGATTTTATCCATGGTATATGGAAACTTCCTCTCTCTCGTTTTTCCTTTTCGCTGACAACCCATTCACAATCGTTCGTCGGCTCTTTCCTCGGCTCTACTAACACCCACTCGTTTAATGGTCCCGTTTCTCCGCCGCCTAGTTCCACCAGGGCATAAGGGAACTGATCTATGACATACCAATCTTCCCAATCTTCTTTGTCAGCAATAAAACTATGATTGACATTTTCCGACACGGAAGATTTTGAATTTCCAGAGTGAAGGCGTCGTTTAATGCACAGGAAACGGAATTTCTTCCTATGGACAGTCGTCGGTTTGATAACTTCACGAGTTTTCGGTCGTCCGTCTGGACGCTCATTGCTTTCATTAGCACATGGCTCATCATAATCGGAGACGGGTTTTATAGTGAGCGAAAAGCTCTCGTTCGATTTATTATCCACCAAATTCCAGAATCCGAGTTTTTCAAACTCGCCCCAACTCACCGTGGCCCTCATAGAACATCCCGAATCATTTCTCTCTAACATATTACCCTCTTCGATCAAGTCGATTAACAAACCGCCGCTATACCGCGCATCCATATCCACCTCCTCGGGATCGAAGGTTCGGTCATTGTCATTCGCAATTTCACTTATCAATTCTACCCGAGAATTTTGACCACTAACTTTCCCGGTGCTCCCAACATTTTTCGAGTCGCGATCTGATCGTCGGTCATCGTATTCAAATAATAACCCCAACAATTCCTCCGATATGACACCAGCCCCTTCATGTTGCGTCATTAATTCACCAAATTTCTGAGCAGCCGTGCGTGGATCATCGACAGTTGCATCTGCGCTTGTGCGACTACCGAAACTCGTGCATCGTTTCAGTGTGTTCAACGATTCAATTGTTTCGGGACACGTCTCTGAGATGGTCGGCGAGTTCTTATTGCTGTTGGTTTCACCATCGCTGGTGTCATCATTTCGATCCATCTTACCTGAACCGAGTATGGATCGCGCAGCTCTTAATATACTTGGTCGTTTTCTCAAGCTCTTACCGCCAAGATTACTTTGCCGAGGTTCTACGATCGCTGCGGATTCCAAATAGTTCGTCTTATCCGGCCGAACTATCATTCCAACATCAGCAACCGTGATGTCCGCGAGTGGATGGTGAAAAACGGAGACCGATTCGCAAGCCCGTTTGCGAAAATTTACATAACCGTCCAACAAGATGTCTAGACGTGGTGGTAATGTTGAGGAGCATGCACGTTCGCGGAGGTATGCTAAGAAAAGATGTATACAAGCGTCCGAAGATTTCAACCAATTTACGTATGTCGTAAGGAAATTCTGGAGATCGTCATCGTCACGCTTATTGGATTTTTTATCACCACGGATGTCGATCATGAAGGAACCCATTGATTTCATGAGACGATGGACCGACAATTTGTTAACATGGGATTGAAGTAGGATTCGAGAGAAGAGGCTAAAAAGATCGAGAAGAATGTCTCGGGATTGATGGGAGAGCGTGTCAAGGAATTTGGTGAAGATTTCTTTCCGAGCGTCATAATTCAATTCTATTTTGAAAAAAATGCAATCAATAAATCAATTGATCAATCAATCAATTAATTAAATTTAATGGCGAGAGAGGGCTCTGATGGATGGGTAATGTCACCTTGTTCTATTCGGACAAATTCCTTGTAATTATCCATGGTCATCAAGCGTTCTGTGCAATTCCTCAAAGCCCATCTTATTCCGATCGCAATGTTTCGAATATCCTGGAGCTTCATTTCGTCCTCAAAATCCACACGGTTTCTCCGCAGTGGGCAATTTATCAGGTACCTGACCTCAGTAATGCCATTTTTGTTTGTTTTGAGAGGGCGGAAGATATCAGGTTCGGTTAGGCCTATTTTGGGGGATGGCGTAGATTTTTTTTTTTTAATAATAGTCCGGAATTATTTTTCTCGAAAACTTTCTTAACCACGAAAGTTCCTCATAAATCAACGATCTAAAATCCAACAACCATGTAGGTTGTACATCGCATGCGAACCAACCTCTTGCTGCCACCTCGCCGACACACGAGTGTATGATCAAATATGCTTCACCCAGGGAAACTATTTGATCAATGTTTCTATTCTTTCGTTTCCTTTCGCTCCACCTCTTCCTGAGACTACCACCTAATTTTCGAATCTTATTGTTTCCACTATTTTCATCGCTATCGCGTTCATTAACAATGTTATTAATATTGTTGTTGACGTTATTTGTTGACCCATCATCAGCATTTTTGCTTTGAACGGAATTTGTTGTGTCCATGTATTTTTTATTTCTATTCTTTTGTTTTTATTTTTAATTTTTTTTTTTTTCTCCTTTTCTATTTCTTCAAAAAATGGTTATTTTTTTTTTTTTTCGATATTAGTTTTTCCTTTCTTTTTTAAACTTTAATACAAAAAATTTCGCGTATTAGTGATCTTGGTCAAAAAATAAACTGCATGCACAATCAATATGCATGTTCAAATCACTGATACAACATTTATAGGATCAATGATAAGTTTTCTTTCTATAATAATAATAATAATAATAACAATCCAAATTCCAATTTTCTTGTTCAATTATGATAAAAGTGGCCTCTTCTTTGGGGCAGAGAACGAGAGAAAGAAAGTGGATAAAGAAAACAACCCTGCGGAAGCGCATCACATCTCAGGAACTCTTCCTTTATATAACTCCTGGTAACGCAATGTCGATGCATGAATTTTTGTAATGCAATGTTGATGTCTGCTTCTACGCTGGTACAGTATGTGTTGACTAATGTAATCGTTAATCGTTACTATTGGTATCTTGGCATATACCTTGTTATATTAATATGTAAGCAGAAGATTAAGCGGAGGTTTAAGGAAATAGAGCTGAAAATGAATTGTTTATGCAATTCCGAATTTGAGTTATGCATGCAGGAATTGTATCTGTCATTGCATCAAAAACGAACCACTTGAAAATCCACTACTATATTACCGATTCAAAATTCTTTGAATAAACAAAATTCCTTTTTCGCACTTATAACGGTGTGCACTTTAGAATGTAGTGAAGCGTACCGCACCGAAAATGTATAAGATTTATTTGTTAGTACTGCATTAGTGCAAGTGTGCCTGCACGAAACGTAATATAGCGTTATGCACGAGACAAACAATGTGTATCACATTAGTCAAGTATCAATAACGGTCAGAGACGAGGTGACACCAAATTTTTCTTCTTCAGTAAAATTTATTGGGGAACATCTATCCGATCAACTCGATATAGTATGGAAGGCATAAACCTTTTTAAAGTAATATAGAACTTCGAATTTTGCCATTGCACCTAGCGATCGAACAAAACCTGTTTCCACGAACATGATCACTCTTCATCAGGCAAATAGAAGATTTCATCCTTAGTATTAAGTTCGGAATGACTTTTGGAATGTAAAAGGTTAAAAAAGAGAGAGAGAAAAGAAAAGAAGAAAAGAAAAGAAAGAAAAACGCCAGAGAAATTCATTTTCAGAGTTTCATTTACAGTACATGAACTCAACCGAATACGTAATCAAAACATTGGTTTTTATTATTAAAACCTTGTGCGAATACACGCATGAAGCTTTTACAACCTGATATTCGCCTCTCGATATTACCAAAGCTTAGCGAGTGATTTCATACATGAACGGAGAATAATCATTGCGCTAAATTACATATGGTTGGGGTTTTTTCATGATGATTGATAAAATGCGCACTCGTATCGAGCGTAAAATGCTATCGGAGATAATTTTCACCTGGCCAAAAAATTACACTACGCTCAATTGAAAACGATAATTAATAATTCTTCCGAATCTTACCTTATTATATACTGGAGTTGATATACAATAAATAAATGAAAAGTGGAGACCAAAACGGAACATATGTGCAACGTGCCCGCAACTTGTTCATTTCTTTAAATAATGATCAAGGCATTGCATCGCACGACATTTTTGTGGAAAACATATGCTGGGTAAAACTCTATTTTCGTCAGTTGGACGATAAAAAATACATCCGATACGTAGTTCGGCGTATAATAGCCCACTTCTGTGTTACAGTTTCAGATAGATGATAAAATTTTTTTTTCAAATGGTACTCGAATACTATGAGCAGAACCATCTATTTTTTATCTTGCAGCAGTCTCATTGGTTGGCACACGAACGGATCTAAGCCACCTCTATACGTAGAATTATTGATGTCAATAGTTGATCCTAACTTCTAATTCTCTTTTTTTGATCACATCGAAATCATGTGATATTCCGTACAATACATAAGTGGAAAAATCATCGATTGTGTTTTGAAATACTTCAAAATTTCAAAGGTATATAGATTTTTTCTTTTTGACGTTAGTTTGCAAAGGATTATTATGATATGATGTAAAGTGTATAAATCAAGCTCAACAATCTGAACTCAAAATTGTAGAATTATCTTCTTTTTACTGATTGATTCTTTCGTCTAGTTGAATTCGATAAAATGGTTCCGATCTTACTAACTACTGTAACATCTCTTTTTTAAACTATGGCATCCCTTGTGTTTAGGAGGATTAATTGTCGTCAAATTCTATTCACCAAATTGACCAAGTAAGTAGTTTAGTGGAAAGAAGGTTGCGTTATGTCGTTATTACGATGAATTATTGCCGCATTTTCTTTTCGCACTACCTTTTTGCATTGTTAAAATCGGACGTTACTTCTGTTGCTCTACATTATCACTCGATAACTTATGTTTTTTTTTTAAAAAAAAAATATATATATATACAGTACATTAATAAAGTCTTTGGACAAATTTTTGTATCATAAAGTTAATCTAGGTAGCTTTTTTATTTTAT